TTAGAATTATATTAATTAAATATAATAAATAATACTTTATCATAATCACTTGTTTATTTAGATATTATTAAAATATTGTATTAGTAACATCAATTAAATAATACCATAATGTTTATATTAAATTTAATATATATATATAATAAAAATAATTTTATTTAAGTATTTATAAAAAAAAATTACGTTAACTACATCGATTTCATAATATCTATAAAAAAAATTGTGTCGATATTTAATTTTATTTTACTTATATCAATATTTTTTTTATTTTAATATATAACTTAAAAAACATTTTGTAAATATAATCATAAAAATATTTTTTTAAGATATAAAGTTAATTTTAACAAGATTCATAATAACTTTTTAATCAAAAATTAAATATGTAAATCAAGAGATAGATTTTTAAAGTGTAATATGTATAAATTAGTTAAGTGATGGTGGTGTAATATTCACATCTCTAAAGAGATTTTAGTGTAAATGATGTTTTAGGATTTTGTTTTTTTTTAACAAAAGTTAACAAAAAAAATTGAAAATTTGGTAAAATGTTTATATATTGAAATTTGTTGTGAGATATAATTGTAATTTTAAACATAAAAGAAAAATGAAATGTAATATTTATATCTCTCAACAAATAAGAATGTAATTTATTCTTATTAAGTAAAATATTTGTGTTTGTTTGGATTTTTTTTAGCATTATATTAATAGAAGTATTTATCAGCTTCATTGAAAAAATCTCTATGAAAACCTGCATTAAAGTTATCTTTGTCTTCTTTTTTTTAATTTGAGATCTTGAGACTTAAAGACCAATCTTAACACTGGTTAAACCAATGAATATTGGTTGAATTTGTTTGGTTTGAGAGAGAATGAGGGAAAAAAGGTCAAAAGAAAATACTACATAAATAAGTGAATCACTATATAAAGAAAAATATGTAAATGGAAAAAGAAAAAAAAAGTTTCAAGAGTTTTTTCCTTAATAGTTTTTGTTGAATCACTATAAAAAAATTATTAGATTTTCTCCAAAGATTTGTAATATAAGAAATAATCTATGTCATTTTTCTCGAAAACACACAACAATAAAATTTAAAAATTATCATGCAACTAAAAGGGGAAATTTTATGAACAACAAAGAGAAATAAAAATATTGCAAACATAAACAAAAAATTTAATACTGAAAATCCAATAAAAAAATTACATCAATCTAAGATTTTAAAATCTAAATGTAAATCTACATCTATATCTATTAAATTTTTATCATTCGGTAAAGAGATTCGAAACTCAAATTTTATCATAATTTTTAAAACCTAGAATCGGATGAACAAATTAATCACACGTCTTCATAAAGACTTTGTAGGTCCTTTATGTATAAAAATGTTAAAAATAATAATACTTAATTTAAATATTTTGAATCATAATTTAAGGATTGATGTTAAAAACATGTTTTTTTTAATTGTGGGAAGTTCTTGAAAAAAACTGCCTCTTTGAAGAAGAAAAAAAGTTAAGGTAATTTTAAATAAATTAAGTTTTTCATGTTATTAGCAATTTTTTTGTGTATAAGCTAAAATTAGCTTATAAGTTGGACGAAAATCTTATTATAAGTGAGTAAGAAGCTTATAAATTATAGAGTTGAAAATTTGAAAACTTATAAATTAATTGATTGAATTGAAAACATTTGATAAAATTAATTGATAAGTTAGTTTGTTAATTTAAAATAACATAATTATTTATTCAATAAAGAGAGTCAAATGCTAGTATAAAAGGGATAATTTACATCGGTTATTTTAAGTTTTTTACGTCAGAAAAAGGTCTGACGTTAATATGGGAGACATAAATTTACGTCGGTTGGTATAATCCGACGTAAATTTACGTCCAACATCGTATAGTCCGACGTAAATGTAAGCATTTTTTTTAATTTGTATTATTTTTTGATACACCCAAAACCCATACAGTCCAAAATACAAAACTTAACCCAGGCAGTCTAGTATACAAATTCAAATGTAATTTATATTTCAAAGTTGAATGACAAAAAGAAAATAATATATAAATCATAAAAAGCATAAATTAAGACAATGTAAATCTTATTATCCTAAAAAAGTTATAGAACATATGTTTGTCAATGCTATCAAACTAGAAATATAATATCCAACTAACTAAACTTAAAAATTTAACTATTATATACTTTGAAGAAAAAAAGTTGCCCAATGTTCTCTTATCTTGATGATTTCATCTTCGGGCAATGGAGATGGATCTTGAAAGACTTGAAACATTAATTTAAGTGTCATTAATATGCAATGTTAATTATCATAAAGGTAAATATACTTAAATAAATTTTGATATGAATTACCTGCCCCCAAGAATCAGTAATACCCGCAGAAACTATGGCTCTCATCCAATACATGATGTAATAGCCACATTCAAACGAGTCTTGTGACTTATTACACTAAAATGAGAAATAAATAACAATTATTTCCAAATTCGATAAATTCAAATATTATTGCCTCTATTAAATAAGTTGCTAACCTTAGGGTATATGAAGTACAATGTCTTTGATCTGGCTCTTCCACTTAAAATATTAGTTCCAGACACGATTCTAATTAATTGAAATAAAAATAGATGTTAGCCAATATATATAGTTACAGTTTTAAAACATAATGAAAATTATAGTTACCCTTATAATTGGCATTTCATTTCGTGGCTTGGTTTTCGATGTAGTGAACAAAATCACACCACGGTGTATTCCATAGGAATGATTAAAATTAACTGCCAATTGGACTTACATTGTATGACAAACAAATTCGTTATAAAATTACCATGATTAAAAAAACTAACTCTTTAATGTATGGAGCCATGTATATATGTCTTCCTCATTTACTCATCCATGTTTGCATATATTGTTGGATCTGGACCTGAGTGTTTCCTGATTTTTGGATGGATTGAGGCTCAATAAATCCATATACTTGTGCTTGCTCCACACTCAATTTGTCCATGTATCTAACACAATTAATTATTATAAGTTAAATATAATTATTGTAATTTTAGACTCATAAAAAAATATCACTTACATGACTCATAGTTGTATGATAGATATATTTAACATGGAGTTTTCCCCAACAATCTCTAATGCGTCGGGCAGGGATGTGTATAGTGGAACATTAGAGTTATCAACTCCAAAAACTCTAATGTCCCACTGCAATTGAATTGGTTTCTTCTTCAATCGTGGTAATATGGTTAGAAGCCTAGATATGGGATCATCCTTAGCTTTTGCGATATCAACATCATCAATAACAGGTCTCTCATGACCTCCTTACCACGATTGATAAAATCCTAAAGAAATAATCAAAATTAGTTAAACAATAATAGAATTATAAGAATATAAAAGAGCAATAATAGAATTACATTTGCCTGTGCTGAAAGCGGCATCACCAAACGTTTTGGCTAAGTTAAGAATGTGTCGGTTGTCTGCCCCACTAGTTGAACCTCTGTATTGGGCAAAGGCCCTGAAGTAGCAGCATCTTGAACTTGGTCAACCACAACCCGTGTCCAGTCTGGCTCTAGAGGGACACCATGGATGGTTGAGCCACCCTCAAGTACTCGACCAATAGCCACTAACTGTGGGGGTCATCCTCAACATATAACTCACACTAGTTTGGTACATCAGTGTGAGTCTGTTCCCCTGAGGGATCTAGAGCAGCACAATTCCCTTTAGTGCTGACTTGAACACCATCATTAGCAACTATAGTCTGTTGCTGAGAACGAGTCAAAAACTCAAACTTCAGTTCAAACTCTTGTCAAATGTTATTCAATTTTTTTTCAAACTGCATCTCCATTCTCTGCATAGCCTCTTGACTGCAAGAGTCAACAATACTGCTCCTCGATGGTGGTGCACCAAAGTAATCTCGGTGACTCTAAGAACCACCAATACCACGCACATGCCCTGGGTGCTCTGGCCTTCCTATGGCCGTTGTGAGTATATCATCCCGACCATGGGGAACAAATGAGCCCTAGGTGGTCTGCTGAACTAAACCCTCATACGACATATTAACAATAAGTATACCCTAAACTACACTTATGAATTGAATGAGTTGAAATTAAGAGTGTTAGTTTGTAT